GTTCCAGGACTCTGGTCGTGACCCAAAATGGTTGTGAGCCAAGTTAAATTTCCCCATAAGGTTCAATGTAAATAAGGTTAATCCATTCTGTAACTATTTTTTTAATCAGAAAAATGTGAAGCAAAGTGACAAAGAACAACAAAGATCATGCCATCTCCCTACCCTGAGCACGAGCGCGGCTATCTCCCCGCCCCCCCCAGCACAACCATGATCACACCTGTCATCCCAGCACGCCGGAGGGGAGGGGAGAGGAGAGACGGTGTGATCATGGGTGTGCTGGGGGAGGGAGAGACAGGCGCAAATGGGGCGCGCTGGGGGAGGGAGTGATGGGCATGAATGTGGGTGCACTGCGGGGGAGACAGGCGCGATTGTGCTGGGGGGGAGATGGCCGAGATTGTGGGTGCGCTCCTGCAGGAAAGACAGGCACGATCTCAGCCATCTCCCCCCCCTCCCCCTGCACTATTGTGGCCATCGCCTCACTTGGGGTGGGGGAGACGGGTGCGATCATGGTCACCACCCAAAGTGCAATTCGCAACCTGAGTTAAAATTTTTATGAAATATTTGTTCACGACCCAATTTGGTCATGAACCAAAGTATTCTTGAGCTGAGGTACCACTGTACCAATGATAATCTCCTGAAAAACATTAATTTCAATTTTCAAACTGACGAGCTTGCCTAATATTTGCATTTACAATGGGCATCCATTTATTTTTACTAATAGACTTGTAACCTGAACAAGTAAAGCACTGGAAATTTTCCACATCACTTCATTGGCTCCAGTGTGTTGAATGCCGTGCCCTCTCTCAACAGTACAGCCTGTCCTTTTTATTTTTTTAACAGGGTTGATGTTTTGAGATGAGCAAAGGTTGAAGGGTGGACAGCATTAGCTTACCTGCTAGCTTCTGTGTGAACTAATACAGGCAATTACATGCATGTCCCCTCAGAAATAAGTCGGACTGTAGTTACCAGAGTTTCCTCAGTGGTAGTGTAGGACTGAAACCAGGGTGGATTTGATTTAAATCAGTAGTCAGTAAGACTAGATTTAAATCATGGTTTTCCACATAATTTGCCTTATCTAGAAGAAATTCTTTAAAATATCCCCAGTCTGGGTCTCTCTTACTGCATGTTGCCCTTATAGGTTTTCTTCTCCAGGAAAACAATAATATGATAAACCTCAGACTATACGAGGTGTGTCCAGAGAGTAATGAGAATGATATTTTTAAAATTATTTTATTGAAATGTTTTACAATTGAACATTGTCTCCTTCAAAGTATGTGCCTTATGAGTATACACAATGTTCCCAGTGATTTTTACATTCGTCATAGCGTCTCTTGAAGTCTTCAAGTGGGATAGCATTCTGAGCCTGCATAGTGGCCTTTGGATATTATCCACACTACCAAAAAAAGAGTCCTTTCAAACCGTTCTTCATCTTTGGGAAGATGAAAAAGTCGCAAGGAGCCAAGTCAAAGCTGTAGGATGGATGGGGAAGCACCGTGATGTGTTTTTCAGCCAAAAACTCTCTGACAGCCAGAGCACTGTGACTCAGTGGCGCTGTCATGATGAAGGATCCAGGTTGAGCCAATCTCAACTTGAGCCAATCTCAACTTGTGCCATTGGTACAATTGTGCAGATGATAGCACAGCTTTTCCATAACCTTTCCTCACCATTTCCAAAGTTTCTGATGTGCTTTTACCCAGTTTTAAAAATTTTTATCATGTATCGCTGTTCCAAACTCGCATTTTTCTTAATATGAGGCACTTGAACGGTGTCACAAAAAAGAATGTCTCGACTGACAGGGCTGGAATGCAACCGATCCGTGTTTTAGCGTATACCTGGCACCCCACCCCAAGTGACCTTGGCCAGCTTCTCCCTTCACAGAGCCCCTCTTGAGTGTAGGGACTTCATTTTCATTACTTCCTGGACACACCTCGTACACAGGAAGATCCAAAGACTTGTGAAGTATTCTGCTCAAAAGGGTTCACTTTCATTTTTACTGCTTGCCCCTTGCTCCTCAAACTTAACTTCTTGTACAGAGCTATTCCACTCCCAACTCTTTTTCTATTCATTTATTTTTAGCACTTACCTCTTAAGTGCTAAGGGGTTGATTCTGTGTACATGGATTTGCAAAGGAACAATGGGATTAAGGTCTTTTTCTCAACTCTGTATGTTTATTTTATAACATTTTTGCTGTGAAGAAGAGGCATATGATTTATGCAGTCACAAATTCCCAGGTTTGAGAACTGCAAAACCAAGCATCTGTGATAATACCTTCTAGAAAGAAACATTGTCCAATTATCTTACAGAAACCTCTGGAAGAGCATGATATTGTAAATGGATTAATGGAATTAATTTACCAAAATAATTAAACATTGCATGAATATATAGCCTCATGCTGTGTTATTAAAAACTAATCCTTATTTCATGATGAATAACCTTTGGACTATTATGTATCTTAAATAGGAGACTATCTTTAGATAGATTTTTCTCCAAAAAACATTATTTAAAATCCAATTTAAATAAAAATTGATTTAAATCCAAATAATCAATTGTTAAAAAAAAGATCATTGATTTTTATCTATCCTGACTGAAACCTTAATATTTCTTCTACCCCAGGTCCATACCTGGTTGTGAACAGGGACTTTGATCCTTCCCCCTGTGTACCTCGCCCACTCATTCAAAGGGCTTATGGCCTGAAATTGCTGGTGAATATTAAAGTGCTCTTGTCATTACCAACTATTCGATGAACCTGCCAAGACTTTCTTCCCACCTTTACAGGAAACTAACAGCTCACTTGGTGACTTTGGGCCAATCACTGATTCTCAGCCTAACCAACTTCACAGGGTTGTTGTGAGGATAAAATGGAGAAGAAGAGGATTATATAAACTGGTTTCAGTTCATTGCAACAGCAAAAAGTTATGCTATAAATCTAACAAATGAATGAAATTGGTGAAAGAAATTAGTGCACTGATCCTGGAGGCTGCATAGACCTGGCAAGACTAGTTCCCACAGCAAAAGTTGGCAGCGTGTGGCCTTCTAGAGGTTTTGGCCTACAACTCCAATTAAGTTGACCACTCCTTTCCCAGAAAGGGCGAAAAGGGCTGTCTTCTTTTTAAGATGTTCTGCATTAACAGGGTGAAATTGCTGATGCAAGAATCCTCCTTTTCTAACACAGTTAGTATGAAGTCCTGCATGACCTAGTTGCCTGTGTGTTGTAAACTTAGGAATACCTAACCAATTGGTAAAAAAGCCATTAACATAAGGGGGGAAAAACATTCCCAAACATGTACATACCTATGGGAAGCTAGTTGCTTAAGGAGTGTATCTGTTTTCAGGTGACATAAATCATCCAGGAAAATTGTTGAAATGCACTGAAAATCCACTTGCCTATCTAAGTATGCATCAGTTTAAAAAAAAAACCCCTTGTAGAAGGGTTTAAAACTCATTTTTTTCATTCACACAGTACACTAAAAGTGGGAGAGGTTAAAAAGCCCTTTAATATGGATTATGAATTATGTGCTAGAAAGCATCTTGAATACATAGCAATAGTGTGGAATTTTCTGTGGATTTGAACCTCTGCTGGCAGCTGGCTAGCTCCAGGGCTCTCCCTGTATGTAGCTGGAAGAGTGCCTGGCTTGGTTTTGCTAGCAGTACTTGCCGAAGAATATTAAATTTTGTGCCTCTGCTTCTTTACTTTTGATTTGCTTTCCCTAAGGACAGTAGAAGAAAATAACAAGTGGCCTTTCTCTTTATTTACTGTGATCTGCTGTCAGGCGTTGATGCAATGCTAAGCTAGGATTTTCTAAAAATTAAGGCGACCCATTACGCTATAAGGTGTTGTCATATCTTAAAGTAAAGGTCATTGTGCCCCTTAAATGAGGTAGCATTCTGAATCAAATGTAGAATTCTGAGTAACTAGACTGTGCATTCTTCAAAGGTCTTGTGTAATGTACATGTTATGTTTTAGAATACAGTTTGCTTTTTCCCTGTTTGTTTTTTGTTCAGATAAAAGATATAGAAAAATATAGTGAAAAAGTTTGTTGCCTACTAGAAGACAAAATCAATAGAACTTGAAGTTTTTAGAGCTGCAACCTTGCAGCTTAATTAAGTTTCTGTGTACATTAATTTTCCGAGAACATTACAGCTATTTCAGCCCAAGGTTTTCTGCTGAAAATCCCAAGAAAGAGGTATTATTAAGGAAAAGGCAGAGGAAACGTGTATGAGCCCCTCATCTAATGTTTCATAAGCCATAACTGTTTATGTGGCCACCTCACTAGTTCTACATACTGGCTTTGTTCAAGCGCAGTGACAATCCAAGTGTGGTTGTTGAATCAAGGGTTACATGCAAGCCCTGCACTATAGTTAACTGTAGGATTTTTTTTTAACTTCAAACAACCCAGAGTTTACATCCCAGCAACAAACCATGTTTTTTTCTCTTGCATTGTTATATGCAAGTCATACTCTGAGTTGTCCATATATGTAAACCAGGTCATATTCTTTTATAAAATGATTTCTCAGTGTGCTAATATGAGGATGTTTTTAACCTTGCTATAGAAGAATGCACGAAGGGTTTGATTACCACGTTTTGTAAGGCTTCCAGCCCAATCCCTTACAGAAATAGGCATTCCTGAGCTCATTGAAATCAATGCAAATGAAGTATGGGATTGCCTATTAGCACAAACCCCTCAAAATGGCACCTAGATTGAGTTTATGGTGATATGAACATGCTTTTCCACTTAGTCTGGTTGAAAGACAAGAGCTTGATTAACAAGAATACTTTAATTAAAGTAATTAGCTGACAACCCTAGTTAAGACTAATGAAGATGATGATGACATCTATGGTTACTGGTTGTATAAACAGCTCTGAAACGGCATCCCTAGCAATGTTATAATTCTTGTGCTTATTGTCTGGTAATCGCTTTTTCTCCTAATTGTCTTTGTATGAATTGCCCATTCTCATCCGGTTGAAATCCATTTCTGTATTGAACAGCTTTTGTACACAGTTGTCTTCATGTTCTGTTTTCTGTTCCTGTATTGAACTCTTTCTTGGAATCAGCATCTTTTTCTCCCTCTTGACAACACTCTAGTTTTCACTCAATACTGGACTCCTTCTGTTAGGTCTCAGTAAGGGCCATGCTCTTGGCATTCGGGTTTCAGGAATCAGCAGCACAGGGGAGTATCAGCTCTCAGTCCAGATGGGCCAGGAGCATGGTGCGAACCGCAGACAAGCTCTGGAGGAAAGTACACAGTCAAAATCAGAGAGGTCAAGCTCCAGGGAAGCATGAACTTCCTCTCAGACCAGAAACAAGTTGCTTGAGCTGAGAAGTAAGCCCTGAGGGTCAGGCTTTGTAGGCCAGGGTGGCATGGACTGGTGGTTATAATCATCTGGCAATGTTTACACAACCTCAATTGTACCCTTGAACCACCAAGCTTGGTTTACTAAGCCATCAGAGTTTCACTAGCAAACCACTTTTATAAGCCAGAAGAATAAGATAATGGGTTAATGTCAGGATCTGAGGCAGCTTTAGTGCTCCTTCTGCTGGCCAAGCACCAGCATAGCAGCCCTGGTAGTTACAGGATTACTCCCTCAAGCTACTGCAGCAGCCAGGACCCTTATGAGCACCACCTGGGAGCCCTAGGGGGAAGAGCTGTATAAGTGTCTCTTCCCTCCAGAAGCTGCTTCAGCAACAAAGGTGTCCAGGCTTGTTGCAGTGCTCCTTGCTCATCACAGCCTGAACTCTGGGACCTTGCTCCCATGCCTAGACCCTGCTCTTGATCCTGCTCCTATTCCTGTTCTGGGACCTTGCCTAGTTTCCCAGTCCCTGTTCTACTCCCATTCCTACTCCTGCTCCGCCCCTTAGTTACCTGTTCCTGTTTGCATTGCTTCCTCAGATTCTTTACCCATGACTTGCTTGACTATGCTTTTCACCTCTTGTTCTTCTACTCCTCTCACTGACTTGGACTGTTGGATAAAGATCTGGATTTGTTTGGACTTTAGATTCCTGCCTAGCTGCCTGGATCCTGGTGACCATGTTGGTTAGTCAGCTGCCCACATCCCTGATGTTGATAGTTAAGGTGCAGAGCCATCTCATGTCTTGGAAGCAGACAGATGTTCTCCCTAATCATAAAGACAATCTGGTCTATTTCTCCAGGGCACTGCTTTCCTGCACGAAATAATTAGGCGCTTCAGTGTCAAGTTATCATGCCTCTGTGAAAAATATTAGATATTCCTGGGCAAGTCACTATCCGTTGTCTAGCCAATCTTCCTAGACTTTTATGAAGACAGATTCAGAATGTATAAATATCTCTGCCAGACTATCATTTTAATGTTCATTTCCATCAGATAGAAGCCTGCATTGTGTTTTCCTTAGATGTTGTCAGAAATGGTTACATCATTCAGTGTATTGGTGACCAGATAAATTATTCGCAGTGTAGATGTCTGTGATAAGAATAGCAGAAATCTTGCCTTAATGGGAGTTGAGGAACTTCCTTATGTCAGGTTAGGGGTTTTGTCCATTTAGCATATGCTGGCTGTGAGCGGCTCTCTCGGAGCTCATCACCTGATCTTCCTGTGCTATTTTTTATCTGGAGATGCCAGAGAGAGAACCTAAGACTGTTGGCATGCAAAGTCATTGCTACTGGACTGTGCCCCTCCCCTTAAAAGAGCTGCAGAAAAGATAACTCTTAACAGAATTGGGACTTTTGAGTTTGCATGGGTTATGACTGCCAGGAACCTTCATGATCCTCCCTAAGTGGAAGGCTGAGGGACAGGGCAGGAAAGGAAAAGACCAGGAGTGCTACAAGTGGTGAGGCTGCAGAGACTTACTGGTTTTAATCTAAGAAACTTAAAAAAGTAAATCATGGGTTGCAGCTTCTGATTATACAACTGCAAAGGTGTGGGGCTCACTGGGAAGGAAAATGCTTCTTTTTCTTGCATCCACTGCCCTTCCTCAATCTGTGAGAGGATTGGCTGTGGCCTTCAGATGCAAGAGAAGCAGCAGCCCAGGATGTGCATGGAGAGCCTTCAAGGAGACAGGAAAGGAGATTGTCATCTATAGAACACTGCCCACCATGAGAAGAGGGTGGTGGCAATGAGTGAGGAGGGGAGTGGGACTCGCCCATTGCGTCAACAAAGGAAAAGAATGGTTGGACAGGACTCATGTAGCCAGGTGCATAGGAACAGCAAATTTGGCTTAATCACCACCAGGCCTTCTGGCTATCCATGGTAACAAGGCATGGTGTCTGCATGACTCACTGGACAGCCATCTCAGAGGGATGGTTTAACTAGTGGAGTCCTGCACTGAACAGGGAGTTGGACCTGATGGCCCTCCGGCCCCTTCCGGCTCTACTATTCTATGATACTATGCTAACTCCAGGATCGGAGGCAGCATACCTCTGAATTCCAGGTTAGAGGGACAACAGTTAGGAAAGCACTGTTGCCCCTCTGTCTTGCTAGGGCCTCTGGTTGGCCCCTGTGGGAAACAGGTGGCTGAACTAGGTAAGTCTAGTTCAGGTAAGTCTGATCCACATGTCTTATGTGCTCCTCCCGCAGTGATCTCTTGAGTGCTGAATGAAGGAGAAAGGGAGCTGGAATATTGACTCCTGGCTTTCACTGGGCTGAAGTAGGCCGCTGCTGAATCAGTAGGATTAATAGAATGAAAATCTGCCACCTTTATTTGTCAGACACTGCAGAAATGTTAATTATTTTGATCAGAAGAGCCTTAAAATGCAGTCCATGCATGTAGAAGTATATCTGGTGGGGAGGGATGAACTGGCTGCATCTAGGCCCCCTGCAGGTGGGATGATGTCCGTCCGTGGGTGGGGCCAGAGCTGCTGCCATTAATCCTCCACTCATTTTAGCCTTCCTGAAGCTGGCATGCATTGCACAGAGGAATAGATGCAGCCCTGACTTTGCCCATGTTCCCATGAGGGTACCGTACAAAGCGACCCAGCCTTTCTTTACGTACGTAATCTTATCTCCAGTTTCCAGGCCCACAGGCTTGGAGATGGTCTACAAAAAGAGGCATCTCCCCTTCCCTTTTTTATATAAAGAAATGGCTTTTCTAAGGATGTATTATGCACCTTGTCCAAAGCACCAGGGGAAGAGGTATTCCCCCCCCCCCACCACCACCACCTTCATAGGTATTGTTTTATTCATCAAAATTAACTAAAATTTCTGCAGTGGAGTGCCGGCCTATTTCTTAGGGTAATAAGGCTATGCTTTTCTCTACAGGTTACACCTTGAATCCAGGTTATGGAGTCAGTTGCCAGTATGCTACCTTGGCACATACTTTAGAGAAGCATTGCTATATTTCTGCACGTCGTGATGTGATGGTTCAGCAGTGCAGACAAAGTAGCTTTTTCAACAAATGTAAGTCTTTGTGAACAATAAATGAACCCTGCGACTTAAAATTCGAATCAGAGCTTGTGTAGCTTCCTGCTCTCTAGGGTCACTTCTAAGAACAAGATGGTACCTTTCCAATTCCACATGCTGCTTTGTTTCAGGCAGCAACATGTCATGGGTCAGCCCCACACCAAACCCCTTGGATGTCAGCATACATAACCTGGTGCAGACCTAGTTCCAGTGGGGCACCTGTGGTCGAATTATGTCTGAGGATCATTTGCTTCGTCCTGGAGCACACGCCCTGATGTTTTCTAATCATTCTGGTTCAGAACATCTGGAGGGCACCAGATTAGGGGAGGCTGGACTGCAGGTTGCCTGGTTGAGGGTTTGGTGCAAGAAGGCCTCGTGATGGACTTTGAGCTGAGAGGCCCTTGCCTTTTAAATTCAGTGAATCAGTGTGTCAGTATAGCTAGGAGCAGCACCAGATGGAGCCCTTGCTGCAATGGCCCCTCCTGCTGATTCCGTTATGCACGTGGGCCCCACTGCTTCTGCAACACAAATTTAGCACTGCTTATGGGAAGCCTTGAAATGGGAAGAAGCACCCATTTGAAGCAAGGCAGGTTAATGGCACGCCCATGTGCAAGCGCTGCCAGCCTGCCCCATTTCAGAAATGCACATTTCCACACACATCTTTGTATTTTGTGCTTAACTGTAAGCAGTTAAGTGCCTCATGCATGTTTTCATTCCCATGATAAATGTGCGAGTGCTCTCTGCTCTACCTGTGGCTAGTTAAAAGAGCTCCAAGTTCTATTTTCGGGAAATTGCTTGAAATGATCAATTCTCTTTGATGCTGGTTGCACACTGTCACAGCATGGAGTGTTCCGAGAGACTGGAAGTTACACTTAGCAGTCCTGTCACCACAAACTGTGAATTGATTCTCTTCTGTTCCACCTTGTCTGTTGAACGGGAGGGTGGTGAGTTATTACTTTTTTAGCAGGAATTGTTCAAGTGGATGAGGGGAGAGAAAGGAAAGAAGTTATTATGGAACAAATAATGGTAGGAGAAAAAAGTGGAGTATCTGGATAGGTTGAGGATCAAGAAGGAAACAAGAGTTCTGTTCCCATAGTTGGAAAGGAAGCTGAGAAAAGACAACTGGAGTCCTTGAAGAAAGTTATTTTTCATGAACTAGTCTCAGCCTCAGGCCACAAAAATGTCCATAATCTCATGGAAAAAGTCCTATGTGGACCTGGCCTTAGGTACTCATGCTGTAGTAACCTCTGAGTCAGATGACTACTCAGCTGAGGCACTGAAGTTACTGAATTCCAGTTCCATCAGACCCAGGCAGCTAGGCCAGTGGTAAGAGATGATGGGAGTAGTAGTTTCCTCATTTACGGAGGGCTACAGGTTCCCCCTGGGGACCTGCTTTGTGGCCCTGCCCTGGAAGACGGTTCAGGAGGATTTATGATAAGACGGGTTGATCAGATCATAGTAGGCTGATTTTGATTGGTTGCCATTGCACTTGGGGGTTTAACTGGTCTTTTAAAGTCCTGAAGGGTCTTGGACTATAATATCTCAAGAATCTCCTCCCTACACAAGGGCCTACTGGGAAAACTCTGAGGCCCTGGTCTGACCTCATTTCCATACTCACCTCACCTTTTCACTTGTAACACCCATGATCTGACATACCTTCCCAAGAGAGCTCCTTCTCGGTAAAGACGGTGTTTTTAGTTACTTCAGTGAAACATGCTTTTGAGAATATCATACTTCTTAAAATGCTGCTTCCTTTTAGAATCTCTTTAAAGATTTTAACTTGTGCAAGGGTGATTTGTCTTTTCATTTTTGCTTTATCATTATGTATGGTTAGATTTTTTAAATTATGAGCCACATCTTGTCTTAGATAGTTAAGATATGGGTGAGCTTTGGTTCTGTTTTTCAATAGTGGGCAGTCCTTTGGAGGACTATTTTGAGATTTGCCCTTTCTCCATGCCATCATGTATTTAGAGGTGAACAGAGAGTTGAAAAAAATGGCCAGCAGCCTAAAGAAAGAGATAAAGACCAGCATACTTAGCAGGTTGGGAAGAAAAGGGCCAAGAGTGAATGGGGACATACAAAGGTGAGCATCTGGGCTGGCCCAAGAAAAAGAACAAGTTGGAACAACTTCCCATTGCATATACAGAAGCCAGCTGTGAGACAGTGTCCTCCATTGCTCCTAAAGACAGCAGCCTAGCTTAGCCAGTGTAGGTCAACCCACATGGCACGCCGCTGCCCCCTCCAACACTTTGCCGCCATCTCCAAGCAGCTGCCTGTGGCAACTACCTCACTCTACCTAATGGTAGGACCAGCCCTGGTGAGCTATAACGTGTGCCTCTACTCTGCGGACACGTTTGTAGCAGTCAAGGATCTGGGAGGACAGAGAGAAAGGTGAAGGCTCCAAAAGAGGGAGGCAGAAAGATGGAGGAAAATAAGGCAACTGCAGCTAGGAACAATGTCAGCTGACACCACCTGATCATTTCCGTACACTCTCGCAAATTGTAGGCAAGTGGTGGTGGTGGTGGCTGAACAGTATTGTTGAGACAGCAGTGATGCACATGTGTGCCGTACAGTCCAGTAAGCTCAACGGACAGCCTGGGAACTTGGTTTTGATCCTGGTGCAAAGCTGTGGAATGCAAACTGGTTTGAACAATACTCTGATGCTTCCTTGAGATACAGTCAAGCCAATAGAGTAAAATTAAATGACATTCGAACTTGTTGTACCCCTCATTCCACAAGTACTATATATAAGAATTGTACTCTGCTTCATCACAGTGACAGCCGATGAACTCTGGAAAGGATATTTGGCAGAAGCCAGCACAGGTAAAAGGAAAGGAAGAGGGAAGAGGAGCAAGAAAAGGTTCAGGAAGAATCTCAACAAAGGCCAGATCATTGGTGAAGGTAAACTGATGAAATGAGCACATGCCCAGAAATTCTTTCCAGTCCCTCCAATGATGAACTCAGACGGCTAGTGTTGATAGGAGGGAAGCCGAAATGGAACCATTGAGAAGCAAGGGCATTGTGTTGGCATGCTCACAGGGCCTCTGAAACTTAAGAAATGAAACTTCTGAGCGGGTTAAAAGAGGAACAAGCATGCGCAGTAGCAACAGAAAGCTGAACTTTAATTGGAAGAGAACATGGGAGAGGCTGCGGAATGCTTTCTTGGAGGGAGGGCCTGCTTGGCTGGAGATATCCTGAGCAGGAGACAAGGATATAGTCCAACATCTTACAAGTTCCCCCACTGAGAGGAGTAAAATTACTCTCCCCACCCCCCCCGTAGCATTAAGCTGTGTGAATCAGCTGTCACGGAGCAGTCAGGAGAAATGGGAAGAGCAGATTATGTATATTTTACAGGGGATGAAAATAGACTAATGAGATTTGGTAACCAAAGTTTACCTTAGGAAAATTGCTTCCGGGAGTGAAAGTTAATTGTGGGTGAAAACAGCAGTCTCTGAAAAAATTATGGCATCCTCTTCTTTACCCTTCAGAATGGAAAATTCTAGAAGTTTGGATTCCTTTTCTACTAACCCTAAATTCTGTAATATTGAAAGTTTTAGTCAAACAACATTCCCTTGAGGTTGTTTGGGTTTAATTTGATTACATAACCTTTTGCCACTAAATAATAAGACAAATCAGATAAATGAGAGCTGCCAAGACAAGGATTATGATGCCATGCTGGCTTTTGTCTGTGGCTCTGGACCCAATTGGCTTGGAAGTTAATGTTTTGTTTTTCTCTAAGCCTTATTTCAATGTAAATGTGTTCCTATGAACATATTTTTAGGCTTCTGTTTTATCGGCCAGCTCTGCTGCTTTTTCTTACTCTTTTTTCAATTCTTCTTTTTCTTTTGTGGTTTTGCTGCTGTGTCATAGTGTGTTTTATTGCTTTTACTGTTGCTATAAGCCACATGGAAGCTGCTTGGGGCAAAAGGCAGGAGATAAATTCATAGACATGTATGGGGGGATTTAAAGGTATCCTGCCCCTTACACCCACACTAGGATCTTCAAATCAGATAATTCTTTTTTATATGTAAACTTTGTGTTTCACTTAACTGTAGTTTGATGAAGAAAGAGGAACTTCTTTATTAAAACACACACAACTGGATTTGAGCCTCGGAACAATCATTTCTGCCTGTTTCACTGCTCTGTGAGCTGGAAGCATGCCAAGTGATAGGTGTCCTTGTTCTCTGATGCCCTTAGGACGCTCAGGCCATATTTGGCCTGGCCTTAATGCGCCAGTGATGAAACCTGGAACTGTCGGGACATTTACTCAGCGCAGCAAAGAAGAGCAGGAGAAACTGATATCTGAAAGAATCCAGCAACGGGATGAGTGGGACAAGAAAAGAAAAATGCGAGTGAAGCAAAGAGGTTGGACTGGAGGCAGATGGGGGGGTATCAGCCTAGGCCCCCCTGATCCAAGTCCCAGCGGAGGTAAGATATAATTCGGGAAGGGACAGAACTAGTTTAACAGAAGGAAGAAGCTCCATGTGATTGTTATTTTTATTAAAATGTTTATTTTCTACTAACAGTAGGCTATATACATCAGTGAAAGGCTGATTTAGGAGAATCAATATCACAGAATGATGGGTAGCTTTGGAAAAACAGTGATAGAACCTTGTTAACTATTTGTCTTAAGAGAAAATTTCTGAAGAGAGTGATCCCTTGACCACCTAGGATTTTTTGGAGTCCCAGTTCTGTGGCCAGAAAGGAGCTCTGATGTCATAAGAACAAACATAAGAAAGGCCATGCACTATCAGATGACTGGTCCATCCAGTCCAGCACTCTGGTCACATGGTTGCTGCTCTTGATTCTCTTTTTCCACCTCACAGAATGAATTAATTGTTTATTGAAAAATCCACTGATTCTCAGTCTTTGATACTCTCAGATTGACTACACATTACAGAAGATTAGAAGGAATTTCTTCAAGCAATTTTATTGATTGAGGGAATTCATTGGAACTCTTTTTTTTGTTTTTGGATAATGCACAGCCTTAAAATTATTATTTTGTAAACCAGCTAGACATATACTGGGTGCATTGAATATGAATGATGTATCACTTTTCTGATTGTTCAGACCTGTTTTCAATGGATCATTTATAAGACAAATAGCATCAACAAAATCTAATAATGAAAATGAACAGCCACAGAAGATTTTGCACTGAATCAGACCATTGGTCTATTGATTCTGCTCTAGCTGGCAGTGTCCCTCCAGGGCCACATTCCTCAGTGTGTTGAACTACAACTCCCAGCATGCCCCAGGCAGCAAGGCCAATGGTCGGGAGGTTTCAAGCAGTTATCTGTTTTGTGGGGGTGCAAGATAGGGCTTTTTTGCTGGCCACTGTGAAGCTCTGAAGCTCCCTTCTGAGGGAGGCCAGCTTGGCACCTTCTCTGTTGTCCTTCTGCCAGCAGGCAAAGATGTTATTATTCAAGCAGGGCTTTTACTTCTGAAAGAGACTTTAATCAATTCAGTGTTTTCTATTTCTTTTATTTTTTTGTATATCTAATTATGTTACACTGTGTGTGTTTTTATTACTACATTTTAATTAAGAACTAGTTTTTAATCTGTATTTTATTAATAGGCTCCTTGAGAGCTATTTTGTAGGAGGGATTGGGATATCAATTGAATTAATAAATTTACTCTATTTGTATTCAAGCTATTAACTGTCTTAAATGCCATATATGGGAAAGGCAAGATTCAAATTTAAGAAACAACAATGAGAAACTCCACCCCAGTTAACTGTATCTTTCTAGTAATTTCTGCATTGCGTTGATGGTGTGGCTAAGTATTAAATAATATCTTAAATATTGTAGTTTAGTGTTATTTCTGTATCTCTCAAGGAAAGCTGCACTAGTTGCAGTTAACTGACTACATAGATTTTTTTCCAGCAGCCTTTTATATTGAAATTCAGCACAAATTATTACACTGGGACATTATGACTGATTTGAAGTGGCTGGGGAAGGGTGTTTTCCCCCATTCCCCATATAATTGTAGAGGCATCTACACCAAATAAGTCTTGCTTCTGTTTTCTTTTTTGCTTTGAATCACTGTAAACTGTTTGATAGTTTGTCATTCGTGATATTCATTTGTAGAATAATACCCTATTTTGGTGTTGGCAATGGCAGAAGTGAGCCATTTATACTCTGGCTGCTGCTCCTAATGTCAAAATTTCTCTCTGATTGATTCTGCATTGCACACCCAGTTTATAAGATTCTTCTAGCTGGCAGTGCCTGCAAGAAGGCAGTTCAAAATTAAGTCCAAATTGTCATCATCCGCAATGTAATTAGTTTGCCAATTTAAATAGATTTCAGACCTAGATGTGAGAAGTAGCAGAAGTAATCATGTTCAGACCTGACCTGAGATTTACATAGAAGGACAGAGAATCTGCCTTAATTCTTTGCCGCACTTTTTTCTTCCAGTCTTCCCTTCTTCCTGTTGTCTCCTCCCACTGTCATTGAAATTCAGACTATAAATGCTGAGGACATTACCTGTCTTCAGTGATATTTCCTTAGGGCTGGAAATAAAGATTGGGAAAGGCCTTTCCCTGTGTTGATCCCAAGCGGAGAACCTGAGATGCAGGGACCATCCCCAGCCATCCAGGAGTCACACTCTGGGGCACCCCCAGTGGCCATAGCCCTTCCAAGCCCATCTCCTACCCCCCATTCATTTCATAATTCCCAGCTGTTGTACCATCCCCCCCCCCATTTTAAAAAATAGGAATGCCCCTGTAAAGCTTAATTACTGGTATGATGAACTTTAAGCTACAATATACACATTTTTTGTGCTTTTAGACCCACTTCCTTTACCTTCAGGCTCACCCACCACTGGAGTGCAGCCCCCCAAGAGCTCTCCAAAATTGAATTTGGCTCTCTGGTTAAAACCGCTTTTGTACCATTTCCCTACATGACCTCCAGCAGCACAAGCTGTTTGTTTTCAGTGTCTCATGTTGGAACTCCAGTAGCATAATCCCCTGGGATTCAACTCATGGGTATGCAGGTCCATGGAAGGGACCAAAGGCAAGAGAGCTTTGGAAAGTGCAAGCAGCTGCTTAGAACATTTTTGTGGGGAAGTAAACCCCAGACAGCTTGATCACCATTAAATCTCCCCTAAGTAAAGGTAATGTTTGGTGTCGCTTTTGGAAGACAACATGCAAATGTTCATGTGTTGTTCTTGCACTTCACTGACATACATCTCCTTGACCAACAGAAACATATGAAGATTTTGACTCCAGAGTGATTGAGGTAAGTGTTGTAATGAAAAAGAATCTGCAAGACTACATGTTTGAAACATAAACGGAAATGCTCCATTTCCTGTCGTCTTATTTTTCCTTTGATAGAAGCTCTGTAGTAATGGGAACTAGGGAAGCCAAGGGAATTCAGAAATGGTGTTGCATTACAACTGAACAGTAAAAAGCACTTTTCTTTACATTCTCCCCAGTGTGCTACAGCATTGAACTCAAAAGAGGCCATAGTTGATGTTGAAAAGCAACACTCTTGGTTGTCATTTAAGGAAAGTATTTTAAAAAGAAAAAATAGAGAGCAAGAAGAATACTTACATTCCATTATCAAGAGGCATGGAGTCGACTGTTAGGTTAACCACTTCAAAAAGAGAGAAAGGGCTGAGTCTTCTTCAAATGCATTTTCACTTCTTCCCCATTCCCGAAGCCGTGCTTTTAGTAAAACAATTTCGTCTCCCAGCTCTTGGAACAGCAGTAAGCAGTCTGGGTTTTTTCATCTTAATGCTCCTCATTCGTCCCACCTTTCTTTTTGTTTTGCTTCTTACATAGATATACAGTGGTACCTTGGCTCACAAACTTAATCCATTCCACGATTCTGGTCATGAGCCAAGTCGAATTTCCCCATAAGGTTCAACGTAAATAAGATTAATCTGTTCTTTACCATAACTTTATGTTACACATAAAGGACGGCATATAAAAGTTTTAAATAAATATGTATTTTTTTAAACCACAAAAATACAGTATAAGCCATGTCCCCAGGCTGCGGGCCAAGCCGCAGCCCTGTCCCTCGCCTCCCCTCTCCTCAGCCTGTAGAAAGCAGCCCTTACCTCCCTCCTCGCAGCCGGAGGAAGCTGTCCCATGCTCGCCTCTCTGGCCTCCCGCTCCTGCTTCCCCTCCCGGAGCCGGGCGAGCGCCTGCGAGGGGACCTTCCTCTGGCTCAGAAGTGGGGCAGCAGCGAGGATCCGGGAAGGCCTCGACTGAGGTGAGCACGCCCTCATGGTGGGTGGGGAGAAGGTTACTGTTTGGAGTGCTCATGCAGGGAAGATAGCCCCGATCGTGATCATCACCCGATGTGGAGTTCGCAGCCTGAAAATTTTTCCGAAATTTCTGTTTGCGATCCGAATTGGTCATGAACTGAGGCATTCGTGAGCCAAGGTACCACTCTATTAGAAAGGGCCCCTATCTTCCAGCAGATGCATTTCTGTAATCTCTGGTGTTGGTTTGCCAAAATGCTTCACTTACCAGTATTAGTACTCCATCTTCTGTCTTTCTCTCTTTTTCTCACACCTCCCTTGCATCATTCTTTGTCGTAATGCAAAGTTGGACTTGGGAGGTGACCACTAACGAGAAGATTTGTGAGGCTGATCTCCTCTTCTAACTTTCAGGCATCCGCCAGCAATTTGAAAGTAGCAAAACCACTCTCCCATTTTCAATGCTCCCTGCTCTTGAGAGATCCCAGAGCCTTGATTATCTGTAGCAGCCCCCCCCCCCCATCCCAGTGTCATCCAAATGCATTGGACTGCAACTCCAGTTAGTCTGCTGGCTGGGGATGATGGGAATTGCCATCCAACCATACTTGAGGGTACCATGCAAAAGAAAGTTGGTTCAGAAGCATATTACAAACCTTGCACACAGGATTCTCTCTCTGTTCCCCTTGCCAGTGTCTCCCATTTCTCTGTGGAACCTTCCTGAGAGATGTGTTACAACTAACACAGTTTTAGAACATGCAGTGATTACATATCTTAATAATCAGTTGCTATCTTTTCTCCTTTTTTGTGGATAACAAAATGTAACTATAGAGTATTTCATATGTTTACTTGCAGTGTATGAGTAAACCTACAAACCGAATCTATGATCTATAAGCAGCTGCAGAGGCAGGCAACCCCTTTCTGATGTGCATGTTTACAGACCTTAAAGGTGTAAAGGTGTGAGATGTTTCTGTTACCAGTTGCTCTTTAGTGTTATGTGAGACACTTACAGACCATGTTTCAGATTTCATAAAATATTTTTCAGCGTTTCCACATCTGCTTTCTTTTTAGCTCCTCTTTTGAATATACATTAGGATTTCTTTCTCCTCTCCAGCAGAAACAACCCAGAATTGCTCACTGTACACAGTTAACTGTGTATTGAAGTCTACAAATTGCTGAATCCAATGTTAGAACATTTCCACTTGGATGTCTGTGCTGGTTCACTGTCACTGGGAGAAGGGAGAGATCCTCATTGAATGCACTTAGCAACAAACTGAATCACAATTCTATGTGGGCTAAAATTTGAATTTTAAAACAGCATTTGTGTCTTTGGCAGCGCTTTGTCTATTGCTGAGAAAGACAGATGCCGGAATCTCAGGGAATGTCAATGCTGGGTGCTAAACAGAGCTCAACGTCTTAATTGAGGTTCCTGTTCTGCAACTGAAGGGGAATATTTTAACACGGTTCCTGTTTAGGCTGGCCACTGATGGGCAGAATCTGAGTGACCTGAAGTTTTCACACTTCTCTCTGCAGCTGCCATCTCCAGCTCTCATCACTGTGGCCTTTAGTCTTACAGTCAGAAATGAAACAGATAAAAGACAGGCTGAGGAAAGTACAGAATAGAGCAATCAAAAGAATAAACAGAGCAATTCCTCTGTGCAAAAAAAGTTTGGGATTTTTTAGCTTAGAAAAGAAGCATGCAAGGGGGAATATGATAGCAGTCCATAAAATTATATATGAAATGGGCCAGGTGGTTAGGAGAATGTTTTTCTCCATCGTTTATCATGTGAGAGATTCAGGACAGATAAAAAGAGAATCCACTTGGCTGTGAAGCTGGTGTCTTTGGTCCCATCACTGACTGTAACTCAAAAGGTTGTTGTGAGGAAGCTCATGTGCGCTTTCCTGGGCTCCTTGCGGGGAGGGGAGAGTATGAATGTAACAAATGCATAAATTGGTACTTCTTCATGCACGTGGTCACACTGCGGGATTCTCTGCCACAGGATGTCGTGATGGCCACCAGCCTGGATGGCTTCAAAGGAGAATTTGACCAATTCATAGCTACCTTTGTCTGCTAGTCCAGATGCCTAGACATTGCCTCCAGTGTCAGAGGCAGTGTGCCAATGGCTGCCACAGTGTGCCACAGGTAGAAGGGTGCATTTGGACTGGGAACTGTTTGTGGACTTCTCATAGGTCTCAGACCAGCCACTGTGCAAGCAGAAAGCTAGGCTAGGTAGCACTGGGTCTGATCCAGCACAGCTCTCTGTATGTTCTTAGAGGTGAGCAGGAAGCCAGGGAATCGCCCATTGCCCTTGCACAGCTGCTTCCCTTCTTTCCTTGATTCCAAGCTGCTGTCTTGGGTACTGAGAAAGGAGGAGCTCAGACTGCACAGGTGGCGTGGAGCTGACCTGCACCAAGAGAGGAGCAAATGGGGTCCCTGAACTAGCCTGTTGCTCTTCTCAGTAAGCCCAGGATAAGTCAAGAATCCTGGCTGATCCTTATATGCCAATGCCAGAATTCCACCACCTCAGCCATGCATCTGAAGGCCTGCTTAGTGCACACAGCAGCTCAGTGCTTGCCCCTCTGGACCCTCAGACCAGCAGCAGGGTGAGAGGCAGAGGAGCAACCTAGATATGGGGATTGTCCTGTGATGCCTGGAGGAACAGAGAGAGAACACTCTCAGGGTGCAAGCTGTGAATGTTTCAACAGCACAAAACCTACAGCCCTGGCATGGCATGGCATGGCATGGCATGGCATGGCATGGCATGGCATGTCCCAGGCAGCTGTTCTTGCTGTGAACCGTAGGCGTGTTTCTTTGTGCAGAAGCGCCACATCGCTTTCTGCCTGGACAGAAAGTGATACAGCCTCAGCCTTTTCTCATACAATGCATAGCCTTTAACATCATGCAGTCTTGACATTACTGAGCCCCACCATGCGTTACCAGCAGATTTACTTGGAAAGTTTACACACTGCAAGGCTAAATCAGATGCAAGGCCCTTGAGTTGGACAGGTATAAGCAAGTGGAGCCATGTTATACTAAGCTGGGCCTCCAGCCATTTCATGGTTAAACCTTGGACCTTCTGAATGCAGTGCCTGTGCACTGCTACTAAGCTGTGAGAAGCTCTGCACTGAGCAACCCAGAGCATAACCTGCGGAAGCATAGCTTGAGCTGTTTGAGCCTCATTCAGCCACAGTGAAGTAGGCCAGGCTTCCATCAATCCTTCAAGACTCTTTCAATGGTAAGACAAGAGTTCTCAACCTTTTTGATCCCAAGGACCACCAGTAATGGTGGCTCTGGGACCAGGAGCCGCCAGCCCATGTACATACATGTACTGATACCTGCGGCCCTGAAGGCCATCACTCTTTTCTTACTGGTACAAAAAGCACATCCATACGAGTCTCCCTGGGAGTTGGAGCGGAGAACTTTCTCTCTCAACCTCCTGTCCCAACAATTCTGATACTCATGTCCTCAAACAGGTTGCTGGAAGGAACAGTCTGTATTGTTGACAGGAAATTAGAAGGAACGAGTGGTCAGGGCAGCCCGGAGGCACAGTCAGGGCCTTGTGGGCACAGGTTGTGCGCTTCCGGCATAAGACTAGGAAAGGAGAGCTGGGATCCCTCAGAAAACAGCTGAATCACTGATCCCCCCCCACCCCCAAGTGCTGAAGTTCCTACTTTGGCACCCTTGGGGCGAGCCGAGCTTTAAGGAAGCTGCTTTTAAATTGGCGTGGCCTTCAGGGAAATGTGGCCGAGTACTTCATTGTCAGCCCTGAATGTCACAAGCATGCTGGCATGCTTCTTCCCTACGCTACATACATAATTCCTAGAGATTCTAGAATGCCAAGGTGCTCACAACAAAGCCATGTTGCACTGAGCAGGCTACCCAAGATAAATATCCAAGCGGATCTGACTCTGAATTTTACTGTGAGACCTAATTAACTGACGGATGATGAAACCTTGTTTTTCTTTAAAGTACATAACTGCAAGAAATCACACTTTGCATTGCAACTTCAGAATTGAATTTTATTTTCCATTATAA